CCAGCCGTGGTTACTACTTGCAGGGTGACTCCAGTACACTCCCACTCCCAGATTTTCCCAAAACCATGTGCTCTGTAATGTCCACCCTCTCCTGGACAGTTCAGAGAAATAATATTGTTCTTCTAAAAACCTAAAAGCACATCACAGATTATTAACTGGGGTAAATAAACCCTTCCATTTAAACACTGAGTTGGTTTATAGTAAAAATAAAACAAAGTTATTAACAATAGGAAATAGGTTAAATAATGCCAAGTAAAAAGAATAAAGTTAGAAATGGTTACAAGCAAATAAAACTGAAAACGCATCTAACAGTTCAAAACGTACTCTAGCAAGGTACAGGCTTTGTTTAAGATGTTTTTCTCACCTATATTTAGTTCCCCGAGACCTCAACATGCCCCCCCTCCCCTTGGTTAAATGATCCATCCTTCTTGGCTTGCAAGACCTCTGGCCTCTTGTGTCTGTCTACAATGGATGCCAAAGATGGCTTCTGTCTTTGCTTATATCTTCCAAAGTTCAATGACTTTGTTTCAAGAGGCAGCATGCTTCTTGTGGGCTTCCCATTCCCTTATATGTAAATGGTGCTTCCATTGTTTTGATTCTGAAATGTTTTGATGTTTAATTTACAGAGGAGACCTTCTCTCCTATCTGGGAGGGAACCTGTTTGGCCACAGACTTTAAAACATAATATCATTAAGTATCCATATTTCCTCATACAGTCTTAATACATACATTTCACAATGATATTAATCACTATGTGTCATTAGCTTTCAGAGAAGACCTCACTCTATATACTTTTATAATAGAGTAATATTGTATACCACCAGTTGATTCAATTGCTTATTGCTTGAGGTTCAACCCCACTGTCTTTATAGACCAGCAAACCTTTGAAATGGATTCTTCTGAGGGTAACCCCTCAAAGTTAAGTTTATTCAAGCTGTGAGAAAGGTAAAATGGAGTCTGGTAGTAAAGGAAGCACCATGCTCTTTCCTCCCCCACTTGTGTTTTCTG